TTTATAAAAACTATATTATTTGATTTGAATTTATCTTTGTTCCTATTTTCTGTCTAACCATTTTACAGAAATTATTTATAATAACTTTAGTAAGTTATTATTAACTTTTCCCCCTGAAATTCTCATAATACTTAACTAGATGCAAAACACTTCTGGAGGGACAGTTCCATATACAAACAATACTTCCTAATCTGTAGGTGAAGTGACCAAACCATTTTTGAACTCCTTAGAGCTAGATGTCTATAAATCTATAATTAAACAACTTTATAGAATTTTGCTTATTAATTAAGCACCCCCTAGATTCCATGTCATGCACACAGTATCACAGGGGTATGAAGTCACTCTGCCTGCAGTTACTCAATCTAACATGACTGTCTAATATGGCTTCCTATGGTTGAGGTATAAAGGCACACCATAGGAGGTCCATATTTCATTCCACATAATATGTGTTTGAAAGTGAATATTGGTGGAATCTACATTTTTTAAATCAGATAAGCTCAGAAAATGTTTTTGATTAAACCATGTTAGGAGGAATGTTTTTAAATGCCACAATAACAGCAATCTTGATTTAATAAGATTTCTGGGCTCCTTTGATTGAATGTGAAGACAGGGTAGAGAAGGAGCAATAAAGCCGTGCAGTCTCCCTTTCCCCGTCTGTTTTCCTTATGCCACTCTTCTGCCTTTTGCACACTCCCAAGGCATCTAATCACAAAATCAACTACGTTCTCAAATCAAGTTTTCTGGAGGCTGGAGAGACAGCACAGCAGTTAAAATCACTTGCTGCTTTCCTAGAAGACCCAAGTTTGGCTCCCAGTACCCACATTAGGTAGTTCAAAACCATGAACCACAGCTCCAGAGAGATTCAATGCCTCTGGCTTTCTCTGACTCCCACAGTCATGTACGGACATCCACCCCCCCACACACACACGCATACACATAATTTAAAAGTAATAAACATCTTTTAAAAAAAAAGTTTTCACCTATTTTTAAAATTAAAGTTCACTTAGTTCATTATTTTATTATTATGTATTACCTAGTGGTCAGAATAAGATATTGAAGTTTAATGACTTGAACAACTGAGAAAATAGAAAAACAAAGATATCAGCTGATTTATCTAGAATACATGGCTAATTTTTAAAATTAATATCTAGTCAAGTCTTTCCCTACCACATCACATCTAAATAACAATTCTTGCTAAATTAAAGGCAGTATAATCTCATGAATTATCAAAAATGAAAAATCTGATGGCTGGAGAGATGGCCACTACTCTTGCAGAGGAGGATGTGAGTTTGTTTCCCAGCACCCAGGTCAGACAGCTCACAACTGCCTATACCTCAAGCTGTAGGGGACCTGACACATTCTACTGGTTTCCATTGGCACTGCAGTCAGGTATACAAACCCCCACATAGACACACTTCTATACACACAATTACAAATAAAAATAAAATCTTTTGGAAGCTATGGAAGGGTGTCAAAGGGGAAGAGAGTATAAAGATGATGTTCTATATGAAATGTGCAAAAATATCAATAAAAAATTTTAAAAATCTTCTTAAATCAATGTAAAATATGAACAATTTAAAAATGAGTTGCTATTTATTACTCAAAAATACTCTCATACTTTAAACTTGGTGTATAATGAGAAGTGATTAGCTCACCTAAATAATCTTAGTTCCTCTTCAAAGATCTACCCAAGTTTTGCTCAACAGTACTGTCTGTGATACTTATAGGTCCATGATGGAGGTAACTAGCCCCATGTGGCTCTTAAGCCCTTCCGGGGTGTCTGTCATGTTGGAGGACTGAAATCCTTATTTCTAGCTCATTTACATTTAAGCAGCCCCATGTCACTGTGTCCTCCTGTCTAACACTGTAGTCTGAGTACTTTGGCTCTGTTCTGGCCTCATCTCTCACTAGTCCTTTACCTGTGTGGCTTGACTACACTCAGTTCCAGAATGCAACTGTCCTCTCCTCACTCATGTGGATTCCAGTGATCTCATTTCTCAATTCCCCACCCCCCCTTGCTTTTGTCAACTTCTACACACTTCTTATGACTTCTTCACATATGATGAATTTTTATTTTGAGAAAATACTGGAAACTGATTACCACTGGGAAGGGAATATTCAGTATAATTTAAAGGGGAGACTCTAAGTAGGTTGAGCAGACTCTAGTGAATGAACCCACAAAGAAGGGCATTTGGGGACACAAACTTAACTCTATAGGGATGTATATATATAAAACAAATGTGGTGGGGAGTTAGAAAGGGGGTTGCAGATAAGGGAGGGAATCTAATTATGATAAAAATACATTGTATGAGATTTGCAAAAATTAAAAAATTTTAAAAAGAAAAATTAAACTTAAATATTAATATAAAATAGGAAAACATCAAGGAAGAAAATGATTTGATCCATGTGGGCATAAAGGATGATTAGGTCAAAATGGCTCATGCAAGTCAGTTGCTTCAGTTTCAGGGATGAGATAAGAGCTCTAGCCCCCAGTGAGAGAGTCTATGAAGAGGTTCTTAGCCCTGAGGCTTCAGAAACAGTTGAGAGGGATCATCTGCTTTCTTCAGTCTCCTCTGACTTTAGCATTCTGGACTGGTTTAGATACAACCTCTAATTTGAATTCTTTTGTGATGGGATGATTATGGACAACAATAGTCATGGATGTAAGCTTCAGTATTTTTAGATGATACACATCCTACTAAATTGTTTGAGTATGAGGAATGAACCAGCTTGCTTATCAACTCTAATTTTAATATGTTATGTGATATTGACATCAGTTATTTTTGTGTATCTTGATATTCCAA